AGGACAGTGAATATGCTGTTATGTGAGAAAGGGGGAAAATAAGAATATTTATATTTACTTGTATTTCCATAAAAAAACACTATAAGAATACATAAGAAAGTAATAAAAATGATTTTACATATAGAGGGTAGAGTAGGGACAAGGTTAAATGAATGGAGGCATAGTTATTTTTTAGGGTATTTTTTTTTAACAGGACAAAAAAGGTTAACACGAAGAATGTATGTGACCTGAGTTTTACATGATCATCAAACAGACCTTCTAGAAAGGGAACATATGTAAGCAACTGACATCTCTGCTGAATACAACCATTAGTTATCCTTGTTCAAGGCTTCTAACATGATATTATTTTCTTTGATTACCACCATTCCAATATTGTTCTATTGCCCACTAGCTCCCATCTCCATATATTCATCTATTCCCAGATTCACAAAAAGACCAAATCCCAGCAATTTTCCTTGAATATGTCTGCCACCATTCAATTCCAATGATAACTTCCTGTCCACATTTTTTCAGTTGTGCCAGTAAGCTTTACTCATCGTGCATACATACAGGCTCAGAGTTACCCTGAAACAGAATTCTGTTTGGCTGTATGTATGTATTCTGTATGGCTTTTTATTTATTGATATATTTGCTTTAATTTTATTTCCATTTTAAAATCACGAATGTATTTTCTTTTTTTTTTTTTTTTTTAAGTTTATTTATTTATTTACTTAGAGAGACAGAGAGCAAACATGCACAAGCAGGGTAAGGGCAGAGAGAGAGCCTCCCAAGCAGGCTTTGTACTCTGCACTGAGCCCAACATTGGGCTCAATCTCATGACCATGAGATGAAATCAAGAGTCAGATGCTCAACTGACTGAGCCACCCAGGTGCCCCACAAATGTATTTTCTATATTAAAAAAAAAAGGAAGGAAGGAAAGAGGGAAGAAAAAGAGGAGAGGAGAGGGGAGGGGAGGGGAGGGGAGGGGAGGAGAGGAGAGGAGAGGAAGACAGATTAATTCTATTTTTCCACAACAAGAGAGTTTTTCCAAAACTCAGGTGGTGTGCTAATTGGGAGAGGTAAAACCAACCATATGGTTCTGGTGCAGCCACTTTCAACACAGCTGACAGGAAATAAAGCCATGACAGTTCTTTGTTGGGGATCCTTCTTTAATGGCCCCTTAGTTATGTTTAATGGCATCTGACATGTTTGGCAACAGTAGAGAAGTAGTCAAAGTGGAATAAAGAACAGCAGTTGGGGACAGAGGAAGAGAAGAAAGGATTCTGTTCTTTGTTAACCAAGTATCCTCCTAACTAGGTGAAAAAGAAGCCAAATAAACAGATCACCTAGCAAGGAAAAGGCTATTTTTTTAATGTTTATTTATTTTTGCGAGAGAGAGAGAGAGAGAGAGAGAGAGAGAGAGAGAGAGAGAGAGAGAGAAACAAACAGAGCATGAGTGGGGGAGGGGCAGAAAGAGAGGAAGACACAGCATCCAAACAGGCTCCAGGCTCTGAGCTGTCAGCACAGAGCCTGATGCAGGGTTTGAACTCATGAGTCGTGAAATCATGACCTGAGCTAAAGTAGGAGGCTAAACAGACTGAGCCACCCAGGCGCCCCAAAAGCTGTTTGTTTTTAAAGATTTGCTGACTTTAGGTTGGGCGGGGGAGGGGGGGAGCAGATGGGAGGGTGGGGGAGGCTGGGTTGGGCCTGCAGGTCAGACAGGTGCTGAGTATTAAGGAGGGCACCTGTGATGAGTACTGGGTGTTGTATGTCAGTGATGAATCACTAAATTCTACACTTGAGACTAATATTGCACCGTATGTTAATTGGAATTTAAATAAAAACTTGAAAAAGAAAAAAGATTTTCTGACTTCAGAATCTTATTCTCTTTTGATGGCAGGTCAATTACATATGACTGCACATAAATTTCAAACCATTCAAAAAAGCATGGAAAAGGAGTTGTTTAGAAATGTGATCAGCCCATATACTCACATTAAGGAAGCGGCCCACATTTCCTTCTTTTGTGGCATCCAATAAAAACACATTCCCTTTATTGAACTTCTTTAGAGAATCAGGTGAAGTGTTCTTGGTTTCGCTTGGGAACTCTTTATCACACAAGACCTGCTGGTTTTGAAATGCTGGAGATCTTTCCCCTTGGGGCTTTTGTATTTGAGACTTGAATTCCTTTATAATATTCTGATTATCCAGTGGGGTTGCTTGGTTACATCTTTCCCCTGATGGTATTTCTTCTCTACATTTGGTTATATCTATCACATCTGATTCAATCAGCAGACTGTTTTCATTGTCTTTAACTTGGTAAGAGCTTGAATCCTCTAAGAAACATTTTAGAAGGAAGTGTCAGCAAATATACTTGGTTAAGCAACAGTCCTGAGATTAACATACTAATTAAATGCTGGCTGCTTTAATTATCTCTAATTCTTACAATGTATGAAGATAGATAGGACTCCAATTTTACAAATGAAACGTTGAGCCTCTGAGAGGGTAAGAGATTCACCTGACTGGCAATAACAATGAGAAGTGGGGTAAGAAACCAAGAACTGTCTCAAATATTTGAGAAATGTCTAGCTCCAAGTCTGCCTTCTTTATACTACCTTTTTATGAATGTACTGCTTGCCTCCTGTTACTATTACTGTATTTAATCTCTACTACTCATAAACTGACTTACCTCTCTTCAACTCTAGAATCTCCGTTTCCATATATTCTAAACACCTGTAACAGTGGGTGTTTAGGGAGTGCTCTAGGCCTGTAGGACAACAATGAAAAGCCTGAGAAGACCTGCTGGCATTACCCTCTACAAGTCCCAAGAGCAATAACTATATTGCTGGGGGTTGTGTACACATTAGTGTTTGGTAGTTCTGCTACATGACCACTCAATAGTTACAAATTTTTAAGCAATAATACCTTAGAGTAAGATACGCTGCCTTAATCATTTTTTATCCAATAATGGAAATATTTTTTTAGAATATTCAAAAGTATGAATCCTTGTCAAACAGAATAAGTAAAATCATTTATTCTTTAAAAGTTACTGTGTCACCTAACTCAGTGGCACAAATTGTTTCTTTTAATGGTTTTGATTTAATCATTACTGTTACTGGCTGCTGTTCCTACATGTTCTCCTATTTTAATCATAGGTTCCATGTGAACCATAATAGTACATAAATGATTTTTATAGTGCCTGCTGTATATTAACACTATAGCAATCAATGAAAATAACAAAAGAACCAAAGCAGTAGTATTCATTATGGCTCACAGGCATGAAATGGTGAAGGAAACCAGACTATGTCATCCCAAAATATGCTTCTTTGACATAAGATTATTTTAGACTAACAGCGATTAAGCAGCATATGCAGGAAAAGCTCATTTCCCTCCCCTTATCTGTTTAAAAGCAGTACATAAATTTACAAAGGAGTCCCTCCTCCTACTAGGAAGGACAAAAGTTAGTGACAAGAGACAACTTTACACTTTCATCAGCCTGGAAACCAAACCAGTGGAATCTACGTAACAAACTTTACTAACTAGCCTTTATCCACTATTGGTTTCTCACATATTTACCTTCCCACAACTTGCTGCCACTAGAGACTCAAGGTCCTTTTCATTTGTCCTGTCACCCTTCTAAAAATTTATTGCTGTTGTTTTTTGAGAGAGAGAGAGAGAGAGAACACAACCAGGGGAGGGGCAGAGAGAGAGAATCTTCAGCAGGTTCCATGCCCAGCGTGGAGCCCAATGTGGGGCTCGGTCTCGCGACCATGAGGTAGATCATGACCTCAGCAGAAATCATGAGTCGGACGCTTGACTGAACCACCCAGGTGCCCCTAAAAATTTACTGTTCTTTGGCTAAGATGCTAGATAAGCCACAGTTCTAAGCTACTTCTTTATTACTCATCTCTAAGTACTCCCAGGTGTTATATGTATGATACACACGGTAATAGTGATACATGGCAATAAATTTCTGCTTGCTTTTCTCTTGTCAATCTAATTTACAAGGCCTCACGCAGCTAACCTAAAATGGGTAGAAGAGATTTTCCTCCCCTACAATTATAGAATAATTATAATACATAAATATCCTTTGTAATAGACCTTTTCTGTCAAGCAGCTGCCTCGCTCCCTACTCCCAATCTCCATCCTTTAAGACCAGGTTAGGAGTTGGCGATACAGATGCAAGGAAGCTCAAAGAGAGAAGAGGCAATGGCTGGTTATTTAAAAAGGGTCATCTTTCAGCAATATCCCTCTGTGAGGGAGATAGTGAAATGCAAAAGTACCAAAATCCAGGTCTGTCAAGTTGTAACATGAAATCCAGCAAGAATGGTAACATTCAAAGACAAGCACTCAGAATAGCAGTATTTTTGCTTTTTGCTGAGCATCTCTGCAGCAGTGTTGGGTGGAGCACTGTAGAATGATGTATCTTTATTGTTAAAGAGTTAGGAAATGGCAGCTTTGGACAATGCTTCCAAAACCAAAGGTAACACTGTGGACTACGTAACTCAGAGTTGTCTCTACCCCACTCCTTCCTGCCATGCCCCAGATCACTATTGGCATACAGACTAGAGGTTGGCAAACTTCTTCTGCAAGGGGACAGAGAGCAAGTATTTTAGGCTTTGTGGACCATATGGTCTCTGTCCTGACTATTCAGCAATGCTGACATAAATCATCAGAGACAATATATAAATTAATGAGTGTGGCTATGCTCCAACAGAAGTCTTTATGGACTCCAAAATTGTAATTCCATATAATTTTTGAGTGTCACAAAGTATTATTCCTCTTCTCATTTTTTTCCAGATATTTAAAAATGTAAAAATTATCATAGCTCATGGGCCATACATAAACAGACGGTGGGCCAGATTTGGTCCACAAACTGTAGTTTGCCAACCTCTGATATAGACAAGAAGTAACTTATATAATGAATGCAGCTGTTTAAGTCTGAGAAAATGAGCCACAGGTATTGAGCAGGACAGACAAAACAGCAGAAGAGGCAGGCAATCACAGAGTGAAACAAAGCCTACTTTTCATCTCCTTGGCTTTGGAGTTCAGATGTACTTGGGTCGGTTTAAATCCATCATTATCTTCTGAGGTGACAGACTCTGAGGAAGTAAATCCCTTAAAAGAGAACAGGGAAGATGTCTTTACTTTCTAGCTCAGGAAAAAGAATTTAATTTAGCAGTTAGCCCACTTTCATCAAGTGTCAATCTTCATAGGCTGTAGCTACCAGATTAGTTTTGAAAGCCTCAGAGCTGATATCATAAGAAATCTCTGGAGTGATGGCACCCTTTTGGCCGTGTTCTGCTTCTAGGCACTTTAGTAAACCACAGCTATAAAGACTTTATCAAGACTGTCAAGACATTCTTTAGGCATTAAAATTTAAAATAAAATTCTAATACATCCATCTATATCCCTCAATTCTGATACCAGATTTGGCTTCAACCGTAAGATGTGCAAAGACAAAACACACTTTGGCTAGTTTTTATTTCAAAGAGAAGGTTAAGGGAGTTGCCTATCTTTATGAGTTGTAGACACTGCAATCACTTCATATGGTAAGGGTAGCTTTTAAAAAGGGCATATACTTAACACCATGCTTGGCATTGAACTAACTGTTCAATAAATGTTGACCATTATTAATTATTCAAGTTACTTAAAGGGTCAACATTTATTGAGCACTTGGGTGTCAGGCATTGTGCTACACAAAGTATCTGATGTTTATCTCATTTAATCCTCTTAACTCTGAGATCATTTTACAAATAAAGGAACGTAGACTTGGAGAGATCACCCAGGTAGTAAGAAACAGAGCTGGAGGTCAAACCCAGGTCCATGTGGTCTGATGGCCCAACTTTTTCATAATTTTGTGATCCTGAGGAGGTATTTACTGTACATTACTAGGGCAGAAGATAAATATCTGCACACCACCTAGGGCGGAGTTTTTACTTTTCATCAACAAGCCCTACTATGAACTACCATTATGTCTTCCTGTTCTTTTTCCGGTATCTTTCTTTGCTTTCAGGTTATAGTCTCTGACTAGTTATTCTTCTCAGTACAGACTGAAAAGTGTACCTTTAGAGGCTATCATGTAAAATGGTGCTTTCTGGAAGATTCTTTTATTAGGCTGTGCCTCTTCTTTCTCTTACATCTTACAACCTTATCTCCTAAGCCTACTGTATCTTTTTTCTTATTATGTATCACTATCAACTCGGGAACACTTTAACTTTTCCTACAAATTCTCAGAACTGGATAGCTCTCAGTCTCAGTGGAATACACTGTCAGATCATGACCAATCCTCTCCTTATGTATGTAAGTTGGGAACATGCCAATCCACCATGGAGGACACTAATAAAGCACGGTCTTAACATTTCAAGAGTACGCCCATTCCAAAATAATAAAAGAAATCCTACACATTAAATAACACAAACAATTGGCACTAAGTAAAAGACAGAAAGATGAGATGGGCCCCATCTACATTTTGCAGTTTTTACCATCTTTTTCCCATTGCGTTGAATAATGGCTGTCTTGGCTTTAGGACTTCTAATGACTGAATGACAGTGAATTCTTGAAATATTGTTACATTTCGTTTCTCTGAAAAGGAAAAAAAAAGTTATTCTATATATCACTAAAAATTCTCTTTATTGGACTTTGAAATACAGATATCACTGTTACATAAATATCCATTAGAAATTAATCTAATAACATCTACGGATAGCCCCCACTAAAGAAAGAAACATATTTTAAAGTCAATCATATTTGAAGTACATTAAAAAAAAGAATCCATGAAAAGCTTTGCGCATAAGTTGATAGAAAATACAAAGGACTGCAAAAGTTATGACATCCATAAAGACTCTGATTAAAGTCATAAATTTTTTAAAGGTAAAACTCCAGAAATGGAACACTGAGGAAAAAAAGTATGTTGGCTAGATTTTAAAATCTAAGTGTTCTAGATTTCTCTGTGTTAAACTTGTAAATGTGAAGCAAGTTGATATACAGGAGATACACAGGAGTAGGGGTAAAGTAAGACACAAACAGAACCACGCTTGATCAATAATACAGATCAATCCTGATTAGGTTTCTAAGATTTTACTTACGTAACAGGTTCTTTTAAATTATTACGGAATGTAGGTGGACACTCCTCAGTCTCAGCACTTCTATGTGTTTCCAGGTCTAATGGGATAACTTCTACCTCACAATCTGCAACTTCTATTTTCCTCTTTTTTGAAAACATATTTTTCATAATATTCTCTTCCTTTCCATTTTCATCAGTAGGATCAGGTTTCCCAGTGTTAGATCTGCTTAGTAATCTTCCTAAAAGAAAAAAGGGTTTAATGAGACAAAAGATAATTGCTAAGCAACAAAAGAGCATCTCTATTCTGCTCCATTACTAAAGAACCCTGTGAAATATCCTTTATTTCTAGAATGAAAATAAACACATTAACTAATCCTAGAAAACTCTTGTAAGAAATAATAAACAAAAGACCAGTGAGAGATTTCTTATCTTCCAGGATATGAAAAAACATTGGCCATCTAAAAAAAGCATTGTCTGTTCTGGTATAACATGAAAGAGAATAGATTTAGCTACAATAATATAAAACAAAAATATAGATCAGAAAGCATTCTAGAAAATTAGAGAGGTGAACTCCAGTCTTAAGATTACAGCTTTTATGGGGCACCTGGGTGGCTCAGTTGGTTAAGCATCCAATCTCGGCTCAAGTCATGAGCTCATGGTTAGTGGGTTTGAGGCCCACATGGGGCTCTCTGCTGTCACCACAGAGCCCTCTTTGCATCCTCTGTCCCCCTTTTTTCTCTGCCCCTCCCCCACTCATTCTCTCTCCTCCTCTCTCTCTCAAAAATAAACATTTAAAGAAAAAGAGTATAGCTTTTGTGTCTAGTTAAAAATGCTGTATCAGCTAAAACGTATATTCTTTTTATAAAGTGATCTATTTAAATCTGACATGATATGCACCTATTATTCTCATATTAAGTTCTAGTATAATATTAAAATCTTCAAGTTTATGCATTTTCTTGTAAGGGACTCAAAATTATACTTACCAAGTCAAAATTAGCAGCCGGATCAGAGAGATACCTTAGGTACATTTTCTAGTAATGCAGATAAAGCCAATGATACTTCCTGGACACCATGTAGCACCTTATAAGGCAGCTAACTTTCATCAGAGTTATTTTGAGAAATATGAGAGACAAATGTGTAGGTAAATTGTGTAGGATGTGTGTCTGTAAGTGGTATGTGACAGGGATCCAAGTGTGACTGTTATGAATTATAATAATTCTTGCCCTCACTGACATGAACCTGGAATTTCAGATGAGAAGGGCTGCTCTGGTACCTGCTGCCTTACTGCCAAGACTCAGTCTAGGACATTTCCTTTAGACTGGCTCCAGAGTTATGTTCCCTCAACCTTTCTCATTTCATGGTACACATAGGAAGTGAGGATTTTTGCCTGATACTCTGGGGTAAATGGCTGACACTACTGGAGACTGGTGTTTCTGGCCTGGTGGCTGTGACCAGAAAGAATCAGTAACTGCACAGGCGTGCCCGGGTGGCTCAGTTGGTTAAGTGTCTGACTTCGGCTCAGGTCATAATCTTGCGGTTCATGAGCTCGAGTCCTGCGTCAGGCTCTGTGCTGACAGCTTGGAGCCTGGGGCCTGCTTCAGATTCTGTGTCTCCCTCTCTCTCTGCCCCTCCCCTGTTTGTGTGCGCTCTCTCTCTCTCTCTCTCGCTTGCTCTCTCTCTCTCTCGCTCTCTCCCAAAAATAAACAAACATTAAAAAAAAATCATTAACTGAACAACTATGACACACCAGTTGGGAAGTTTTGCTCAGAGTGTGGGCAACTCTCTCGAGTCCCTGAAATGGAGTGAGCTGCTTAAAGTCACTGCCTGAATCATCCTGTGCAAGTATTTATTACAGACTTAACTTGTTACATTCTAACAGCCCAAGTCATTGAGCAAGACAGTCTTTGATTGATAATCTTTACCTTAGCAAATCAGTTACACAGTTTTCTTTTTTTTTTTTTAATGTTTATTAATTTTGAGAGGGAATGGAAGAGGGGCAGAGAGAGGGAAAAAGAGAATCCCAAGTAAGCTCTGTAGTGTCAGTTCAGAGCCCAAAGCAGGCTTGTTCTCACAACCACAAGATCACAACCTGAGCCAGTATCAAGAGGTGGACGCTCAACTGACTGAGCCACCCAGGCACCCCCACCCAAGTCATGTAGTTTTCTTTTTTTTTTAAGTTTATTTATTTATTTTGAGAGACAGACAGTGTGAGTGGGGGAAGGGCAGAGAGAGAGGGAGACAGAAGAGAATCCTAAGCAGGCTCCATGCTGTCAGCTCAGAGACTGACCTGGGGCTCGAACTCACAAAACTACGGGACCATGACCTGAGCCCCAACCAAGAGTCAGATGTTTAACCGACTGAGCAACCCAGGCACCCCTAGTTTTCTTATTCAAAAAGACTTCTAACCTTACCACAAAGCATCTGTAGCTATCATGGAGACAAAAAAAAAAAAAAAAAAAAAAAAAAAAAAAAAAAAAAAAAAAAGCCTCACACAATAACCCAAGTTTTATCTCTGAGCCTTTCTTGTCTGGAACATCCAGTGTTTCCTAGAACATGTCATCCCTTCAGTGCTCAATCTCCCAGTTACTTGTCCCCTCTCTTATGCTCCTCCTATATATTGTTGCTCCTGTCCTTGCTATAAGATCTCAATGGCCCTGGCTAGTAAAAGAGATTCAGAAATGTGGACCTTACTATAATTTGAATAATTAACCTTTGCTTTACCTGAATAAATGCAAACAAATGTCCCTCTGTCAATGTCATCTAGGCAGCGTACTCCCCATCCCTTCTTTTCAGTTTTGAACACCTGTAGCCTCACTTGAGGTCCATGCTGCACAACTCGGTTTTGACACATTTGTCGATTACACTTGCACAACAGGCTGCATTCATAAATTCTGTCAATAAAATATGCAAGAGAAAATCAATCAGATATCCAAATTAAAAGCAAAAGCAGTTTATACTGCTACCTCACCAATAATTACCAAGGGAGGCAGACTAAGTGTGAAGGCTCCTAAAGCTAGACTGCCTGGATTCTCATCATAGGTCCAGCCATCTACTATACTAACTGTGTGGCTTGGATGAGTTATTTAACCTCTGTGCTTCAATTTTCCATTTTTAAAAGTGGGGATATATGATAGTACCTGTCTTATAGGGCTGTTTCATAATTTAATGGGTATTTACAAGGTGCTTAAGGCAATGTCTGGCACATAATAAATGTTAGCTTTTAAAAAACTGTCTAGAAATGTCTGGGAAGGGAATGTCTAGGAAGAAAGATTTTCTGTTTCTATGTATTTTTTAATAACATCATTCTTGAAAGTTTGAAAACTCCCAATTTTTAAATGAGCTTTGTAAACTATACTTCTTAATGAAGAAATGGCTGTCCAAAGCAGGCTAACCCTATAGGGGAACAGCCACCTCAAAGCAAACATTTAAGTATGTTCTGTGTGGTACATGAGTGTTCTCTGACTTCCATTTCCAAGAACAATATATAAATTTGTTTTTTTATTCCTTAATATATAGATTTGTGGTATAAAAATTAATATTTAATGATATCTATAAGACTATAGATCACAATAGTAAAGTACCCACCTTCAAAAATACAAACACCCTGCAACAAATCCTCAAGGTATCTTACCCAGTAGGTATTTGTCTCTGTAGTCTTTTATATTTATATCCAGTGGTTATTTTATTACTCGACAAGGGGCAAGTCTTGGCATTCCTTGCTGTCAACTGAAGACATGCACATTTTGTTCTAAAAGGAAGGCAATGGATGGAGAAGTTAGAATAAAAAAGCACCAACTTGAGTAATGAGAGTCTTCATAAAAGTGTAAATGATAGGGGTGCTGTGGTGGCTCAGTCAGTTGAGTGTCTAACTCTTGGTTTTAGCTCAGGTCATGATATCACGGTTCATGAGCAAGCCCCACATGGGGCTCTGTGCTGACAGTGCAGAGCCTGCTTGGGATTCTGTCTCCTTCTCTCTCTGCCCCTCCCCTGCTTGTGATCTCTCTCTCTCAAAAATAAATAAACATTAAAAACTGTAAATGACAGTAAAGGATGTAATTGTATTTAGAATAGTCATTTGGCTCATGGACAGCTGGACTTCTTCCCTAAACAGATTTCTTTAAAAGACAAAAACTAAGAGGAATTTATAAATAATTCTAAATAACATAAATAATTCTAAACTACCCTATCCCTGTATTTGTTCATGAAATACATACTTAACTATATGAGTTTTAGTTGTTGTTTTTTTTTTAACGTTTATTTATTTTTGAGACAGAGAGAGACAGAGCATGAATGGGGGAGGACCAGAGAGAGGGAGACACAGAATCTGAAACAGGCTTCAGGCTCTGAGCTGTCAGCACAGAACCCGACGCGGGGCTCGAACTCACGGACCGCGAGATCATGACCTGAGCTGAAGTCGGCCGCTTAACCGACTGAGCCACCCAGGCGCCCCATAGTTTTAGTTTTTTTAAATGAATTCCTTTCATTTCCTATTCAGCAGAAGCTAGTTTGTGAAAATTCTCCTAGCTCCCCTCTCCTACAATGGATAAACTTATGTGCGAAAGGGCATAGGTAGTTTTGCAGACATCTTAAATTCTCTCTCCCTCCAATTACATGAAAACAATTGGGGAGATTGATGCTGGCCATCTGGCTACTACAATCTGCTCTTCATAATGTTGCTAAGCAGAAAACATACAACCATAGATTTCTCTCCTGCAAGATGGCAATGTAGAAAGACCTCCTCCATAGACACACCAGATCTACCTATTTGTAAAGCAATGCTTTGGGAAGAACTGAAGGCTGACTGAACAGCTTCTTCACAACAAAAGATAGACCATGTACAGAATGGCAAGAGAGACAGAGATACTGTAATGAAGGGAACCCCCACCACCTCTGACACTGCAAACTGCAGTGGGGAAGGACTGGTGAGCAGATTTATCTGCCCTGGGGCACAGAAAAAAAGAAATGACAACTAGAATACAAAGGAACTGGCCTTAGAACCCTGTTGATTGGCAGGGGAGCTGCTGCAACTCTCTGAGTTAGAGGGGCTGGCAAGTGCCCCATTTTACGTTTCCTCTGCACCTTAATAGCACAGATGAGAGTAGAGTCTGGGAGCCCTAATTGGACTATCACTATACCAAGCCTCAGACGCCTTGAAGCACAGAAAAAAAGCTGCATTTTCAAAGAACAACTAGGACATAAAAGACTCAGCCCTAAAACTATGCAAAATGGCAGGGAAGCTGCTGAAACCCTCTCAGAGTCAGAGAGGCTGGTGAACACCACAGGTGATATTCCCCCTCCACCCTGACAGTGCAGACAGGACAAGGGTCCAGGTACCTTAGCGGACCTACCACTGCGGTGAGCCCTGGGACCCTACCCCACACCAGCCCTAGCCATCCAATTAAAGCGGCCCCAGTGCAGCACACACCAGATACCTCTGGTCAGCATTCACTATAGCTGCAGACATCTCTTCAAGGTGACACAGGTGCAAAGTACCCTGGAAGACTCCAGGCTCACACTACTCTGGCTTCAGATGACATGTTAGCATATCCCTGGTACACAGTATCCTAGGACCTCCTGACCCATTTCCTGAATCAGCCCTAGCCACCCTGCCAGGGACCCCTGAATAAAGAACTATGGGACCTTTGGCCTAACACCCATTTAAGCTTCAGCTGTTTTCCCAAGGTACCCTCTCTGTGAAGAACCCTGGGACCATCCCAGACAATGTCCACTTCAGCGTCAGTTGTCTGGCCAATGTGCAATCTATGCTGAGAGCCCTAGGACTGCTCCATCCCACACCAACTTCATCTCCAGGCATCCCACCAGGACAGTGTCAGCATGGAGTCCTCTGTCCCACAGCCCACAAGAGCCACAGATCCAGCCAGTCAAAGTCACTTAGGCACACAGCCTCCACAGACACAATCACACACAAGATCATTACTTCCTGTTTAGGAGAAGTTAACAATTACACCTAATTCAACAGAAACAAAGACAGAAAGTCAAGTAAAATGAGGAGACAGGAATATGCTCCAAACAAAAAAACTACACAAAACCTCAGAAAATAAGCTAAATGAAATGAAGATAAGCAATATGCTTGATAGAGAGTTCACAGTAATGATCATGAAGACATTTACCAAACTGTAGAAAAGATTGGATGAACTCAGTGAAAACTTCAACAAAGAAGATAGAAAATCTGAAAAAGAACCAATAAGAGTTGATGACTATAACTGAAATGAAAAATATACTAGAGGGAATCAACAGATTCAAGGATGCAGAAGAACATATTAGCAATCTGAAAGATTGGGTAATAGAGTACCCAAGCTGAATAATAAGAAAACACAAGTTAAAAAAAAAAATGAGGATAGGTTAAGGGATCTCTTGGACAATATCAAGTGAGCAAACATTTCCACTACAGGGGTCCTGGAAGTAGAAAAGAGAGATAAAGGGGTAGAAAACTTATTTGAAGAAATAATAGCTGAATATTTCCCTAACCCAGGAAAGAAACAGACATCCAGGTTCAGGAAGCACAGAAAGTTTCAAACAAGATGAATCCACAGAGGTCCACACCATGATACATAATAATTAAAACGTTAAAGATTAAAGATAAGGATAGAATTTTAAAAGCAGCAAAAGAGAAGCAACTAGTAACATTTAAGGACAAACCCATAAAGCTATCAGCTGGTTTTTCAGCATAAACTTTGTAGGCCAGAAGGGAGTGGGCATGATATATTCAAACTACTGAAAGGAAAAAAAAAATCTACAACCAAGAATATTCTACTTGGCAAGATTATCATTCATAATTCAAGGAGACATAAAGACTTTCCCAGACAAACAAGTTAAAAGGTTCATCATTACCAGATTGTTCTTACAAGAAATGTTAAAATGGAACACAAAAGGCCATAATTAGAAGAAAATTATGAAAGGGAAGAGGACTCACAAAATTAAAAGATATAAAATATGACAATATAGATATAAAATGTGGGAGGGGGGAGTTAAAATGAAGAAGTTCCTTTAGACTGTGTTTAACCTTAAGTGACCATCAGCTTAATACAGACTACTCTATACTTAGGATGTTATATATAAACCTCACAGTAACCAAAAACCTGTAATAGAGATACAAAAGAAAGCCAAGCCTAATACTAAAGAAAGTAATCAATCTTAAGGAATGAGAACAAGAGAAGAAAGGAATGGAGAACTACAGATATGTCCAGAAAACAATTAACAAAATGGCAATCAGCACACACTTATCAATAATTATGTTAAATGTAAATGGACTAAATGCTTCAATCAAAAGACATAGGGTGACAGAATGGATTTAAAAACAAAAACAAAGACTCATCTATGTGCTGCTTACAAGAGACTCTCTTCAGACCTAAAGACACAGACTGAAAGTGAAAAGATGGGAAATGATATTCCATGCAAATGGAAGTGGGAAAAAAAAAAACCTGTGGTAGCAGTATTATATTGGACAAAATGGACTTCAAAACAAAGATTGTAACAAGACACAAAAAAGGGCAATATATAATGATACAGGATCAATCCAAAGACAGGATACAACATTGTAAATATTTAAGCACTCAACATGGCGCCCCTAAATGCATAAGGCAAGTTTTAACAGACATAAAGGGAGAAACTGACAGTAATACAATAATAGTAGGGGACTTTAATATCCTACTTACATCAGTGAACAGATCATCCAGGCAGAAAGTCAATAAGAAAACTGTCTTTTTTTTTTTTTTTTTTTTTTTTTTTTTTTTTTTTTTAACGTTTTATTCATTTTTGAGACAGAGAGAGACAGAGCATGAACGGGGGAGGGGCAGAGAAAGAGGGAGACACAGAATCGGAAGCAGGCTCCAGGCTCTGAGCCATCAGCCCAGAGCCCGACATGGGGCTCGAACTCACGGACCGCGAGATCGTGACCTGAGCCGAAGTCGGACGCCCAACCGACTGAGCCACCCAGGTGCCCCAAGAAAACTGTCTTTGAATAACACCAGACCAGATGGACTTAAGAGATACACATATACAGAACATTCAAGCCAAATACAACAGAATACACATTCTTTCCAAGTGCACATAGAACATTCTATAGGATAGATCACATATCCCAATAAACAAGTCTTAATAAATTTAAGAAGACTGAAATCCTATCAAACATCTTTTCTGACCACAATGGAATGAAATTAGAAATCAATTCCAAAAAAAAAAAAAAGTGGAGAAACCATAAACATGTAGAGGCTAAACAATATGCTACTCAACAAGCAATGGCTCAATGAAAAACTCAAAGAGAAAATTTAAAAATACCTGCAAACAAATGAAACCCACTGGTCCAAAATCTTTGGGATGCAGCAAAAGAAATTTTAAAAGAGAAATGTATAGTGATCTCAAGAAACAAGAAAAATCTCAAACAATTTAAACTTACACCTCTAGAAATTAGAAAAAGAAGAACAAGACCCAAAATTAGTAGCAAATAATAAAGAATAGGGCAGAAATAAATGTAAAAGAGACTAAGAAAAAAAAATAGACAAGATCAATGAAACCAAGAGCTGAATCTTTGAAAAGAAAAACAAAATTGATAAACCTTTAGCCAGATTCATCAAGAACAAAAAGAGGATCCAAATAAATAAAATCAGAAATGAAAGGGGTAAAGTAACAATTGACACTACAGAAATACAAAGGATGATAATAGATAAGAGACCACTATGAAAAATTACAAGTCAACAAGTTAACAACCTAGAAGAAATGGGTAAGTTC